CAATTATCGTTAGAAACTATTTTTAAATATATTAATTTAAATAATTTCTTTAATTAATTTAAATTTTACTTGTCTTATGTTAAAAAAATGCACACAAAATAAATTAAATTGATTTTTAACGTTCGTTTTAACAAAAGAAACTAAATTTCTAATATAAACCATTTTTTCAATAGTAAGGTATTTTGAACAGTAGTAAATTACAACAATAAAAGTTTTATTATTTAATTATTAATTAAATTTTTGGCTGACAGCTGTTTCGACTATTGCAAAATGTCCATCATACTTAGTACGCAATAAATACAACAGTGCGTATGAGTAACAAAATTAATTTGAGTATTGCAAGTGCGTGTTATTTGTAAAAACAATTCGTTTCACATTTTTAATATTATTGACATAATTTGCAGTAAGTAACAATAATTTACAGTATCAATCAGTAGGTTAAAAAGAAAAAGTTATTTTGTTTTAAATATATTTAAATATATATTATTACTTCACTGTTTATAGCCTATGTTTACTCCATCAATAATGCCTCTCTTCTATTAAGTATTTCACCACTTCAGTAAAAATTAAGCTATATATTAAGAGTTAAATCCATTTATTAATAATATTTCTATCAATCCCTCGTTGGGTTATGTTGTATAGACTGCTTATTAAGGCACGGGAGTAAAATATGTATAATCACCAACATTTAAAAGTCAATTTTCTCTGCAGTGGTGGTATTGTAAGCCTCAAGACTCCATGAACTATTTTCATTTCATGTCAAAGACACTAACACTTCTCATGTAAGAGCAGTGCAAAACATTTTCAACTGTTTTCGATTTTGTTTTCGATTCAAGTTAAACATTTTTGATCTTTTATTTAGTTTTTAAACAAAACAATTTCTGCTTACATTTTACAATTTTCAATAGATTGCTTTGCACTTTCAACTAATGATAACAACTCTATATCGTGTCAATGTAAAGCATAGTATTTTCTAAAATATTTCTGAAAGTCATAAGTAATGACACTAAAATCTTTTTATCTTTGTATTTGTCGAAGTGCTATATTCTGCTGTGCATATTTTAAAACTTATGGATAAGGCTAATGATAATCCAATATACTTACAATAGATATAATGTATTTAATTCTATTTACCTATAACTTTATTTAATTATTATTTTTACTTACTATATCAAAATAATTATTATAAGTATTGCTATCATATTTCGTATCTGTTCTACTAATTATAGAATTATTTAAATAAATTAACCTTGAGGTAAATGGAAAAATTCTAATAATTTATATAATTTGTTTTAATTTACTAATTAGATCTTTATCATTCATTTTCTTATTTTTATAAAGTTATTAAAAAAAAATGCTGTTATCTTCAATATTTTAGGTCATATATTCAAGAAAGTATAACTTATATAAAGAATAATTGAATTTTGAAGAAATCTAAATTAATAAAAATTTATATTTTTAAAAATATTATATTAAACCTATACACATTCCTTCTTTTTTTGTTGAAAGATTATTATTTTTCCCTTTTCATATCTTGTAGGATATGAATTAATATTAAAAGTGTGTCCATTTTAACATTATCTCGAAAATATATTTCATTTAGGTCAATATGAAATATAATGCTCACCTCCACTAAGCATAAGTCTACTTATATGCTATGTGGATTTCAAATCAATACTATTAAATATAGTGTTATAAATGTTTTGCTTGTTTTTTTACTTAAATGACTTGTTACTTACTGTGATATGAAACTGTTATTAAAAATCATATATAAAAGAATATTAAAATAGAAGATAGAGCCACATTCACACCATATTCACTTGCTAGAGATATTTTTGTAATAAAATATAACAAAATATAACTGAAAGTACATTCCCATTCATGGATAACATCCTAACCAATAAAACAGCTCCCACACATTCAAGCATATATGACTACGATATATTGTTTACATTTGCTCTGACATATTTTTATTTGTCTCCTCTTTTATTTTTTGCATTATTCACACTTTTCTCAATTTTCCTATTCATTTGTATTTTTATTTTATTTTTTTTTTTGTGTTGTTTATGAGCATTTCTGGTGCCTTGTTGTCTTGTTGAATGTCGGTTTAGTCCACATTTGCCACCACAACTAACTAAAACACAATCACAAATGAAGAAAGATGAGCTAAATCAATATATATATATATATATATATGCATATACAGACATATATAGGAGTATATGTATACATATTTATGGTCACAGCCATGCACACAGAAGCAAGCAGTAGGTGAACACAATACCGAAATAAAAATCAATTTTGTATGTAAATTATTCAACCATTTCCTGCTTTTATTGACAGATTCACATTGATGTCAACATTTTTTTCTGCGCCGAATTGCTTCTGTATGCAAGGAAGTAAGTAAGTGTGGCTATGTGTCTGTGTGTCAGTTCAGATGGGTCATGTGTGCTTTAATGTGCTTCAATGCAGCTCACCTGTGAGTTAATGTTTGCTTTCGAGTGTCACTAATTCCGTCACAACCTTGCACTAAAATGGGTCACGAAGAGGAAGCTTAATCGTTTCGATTACTGAATCATTTCGTAAATTATGTGATACATTCAATTTAATTTTGATATTTATTACGCTTGAGATATTTTATGAGAATTTCAATGAAATATCTTCGATTTTATAATAAACAATTTTATTGTTGGAAATTATTTTTCTTTAAATTTTTATCAAAACATTTAAAATGCTTTTAAATAAATTGCACAAAAATATTTAAATATATTTGCACACTAATAACAATTTGCTGACAGATTTCGAAAAGATATAGCGAACGGATATAGATGTTTTGAAAAACAATAAATTTATAGGTCAGATATCAATCCCAGCAGCAAATCTAACTAATCTAACTTGTAGAAATAATTATTCTATAGCTGCGAATAATAATTAATCAGAAATTTAAATTATAATTTTTTCAAGGAGAGTCGAAATATAGAATAGGTAAAATAAAAAAATATACGTTGAATTATTTAACAAAAAGTGACCTATAGCGGGATTAATATATAAAAACCAATTTTTTCAAAGTTTATAAAAATTTCATTGATGCAGTTATAGTACAATGCAGTATAAGTATATATTTTGTAACATAATAATTATCGAAAGCAACTAATCCATTATTGGACATGTAAATTTATAATGACTTCTTTTTAATATGCATTTAATATGCAAGTCACTTTTTTATATCGCGCACTTTTATTAAAAAGCATTTCAATAATATGTTCATACCATTTTTAATAACCAAAATGCTGTACAGTTTAATATTATCTAATGTTCTTTTTTTAATTCTACTAATCAATACGAATTAAATGGAGC